TGGGTGAGAATTTGAGTTATGTGGCACAGGGGTGACAGCAATGTGTGGGTACAATCTGTGTTGACCAGCACAGGGTTCTTTGCCTGACCACCACACCATTGTTGGTTTTCCCTCAGTATGGCATTGACTGACATTTACATCCATAACAGAAACTATCATAAGTGATTTTTTTTTTCCAATAGTGGAGTTATTTTAGTGTTGTTCAATTTATGAATTCTTGAGGCCAAAGTTAGTAAATATGTTATCAGCATTTTGGTTAAAATATTCTGTTGAACCTGATATTGGCACCTATTTTCCCATTAGAATGAAATATATTGGATTCATCACTACTTCTAATCTCAATAACTGACTAGACGTCATTACCCTTGTTTCTTGTCTAATGCATTGCAGGTTGAAACTGCTCAAACTATATCAAAGTTGTGCCTTGAATTCCCAGATATTTACATAGGTAAGCCTATCATCATTTATGTACAGGTCAATTATATAAAGGAACTACTTACTGGTTATTAAAGTGTCTATCATGAGGATGGCTAAGCTTTCAACTGATGCTTGTGATCTTTTTAGTGATTATTTCTATTAAAAATGTAGGATGCCAACGGAAGTCCAGGGTTGGTCCTCTCGTAATAACTTTTGTCGGAAAGGTAAATGTTTCAAGGCTCCAAGCCCATTCTCCGATGCTACCATACAACTGATGCATTTGTGGCATTTTCTATCTTTTATGTGGATTTTGATATTGTTAATACCTATCATTCACATTTATTTCAGGACAAGACAAGAATTGATTTGGCTGCTGAGAAACTGTCTAATAGTTTTCCGGCAGGAGCTTTCTCCGAAGCAGACTGTGGCTGACATACTCTGCCGGAAAAATTCATTCACTATCAAACCCAGGGTGGTGGGGAGAGATTCTCCTGAGATACTGGTTGGAACAAAGAATTCCTTATTATTAAAGCTCTCTCTGCCCAACTACACATGCATCTGAAGAAGCATATTCCTGCAGTTCCTTTGGTGAAGGACCAACTGAACTGTTGAGGAAGGTCATCCAATTTCCCTACTTGTAGAAGGAAGGTCAGAGAAAGATTAAACTACGTGACTTAACATATACAAGATTCTCAGAGAAAGATTAAGAAATTGAAATTTGTCTTTCGAATCAGATAGCCATCTCTCTTCAGCAATTTTTTTTTTCTTTTACTTATCTTGGAAAAAGGTGTTTCTGCTCTGGGTGTGTTTCAGGACTGACAGATGTTAAGAGAAGAGATTGCCTTACACTGAATTGCCTTCTACATCTTGTTCTGGAGACTTGCCAAAGATATTCTAATCCTGCATGACTGTTGTTCATCAGAAGCATGGCACATATGCATGCTACACTAATTGTTGATGATGGCAAGTAGAACAAAAACAAAAGTATTACTCTCTTCACCTTCACAGCATCTGATCAATGATTGGGTTAAACACGTATTAGAAGTTAAGATTGACCTATCATATGATTGTAGAATAATCCTCCCCCTTCCTCCTGTTCTATATAGTTAATTATTTTAGCATTCAGATATAAGTTAACTATGAAATCTTTTTTTTTTAAACAAGGATTGTTTAATGTTTCGTACAATCCCAGAACAAGGTGAATGCCTCTCCCTCACACAAGCAGCATTTCACAAAATCGAATCCCAGTATCAAGGGCTAATTAAATATTATTAGTTTGACCTCTTTACCATTTCAATTTTTAGATTTAAAAATTTTATATTAAAATTTTTATAGTTATAAAAGAAAATTATTTAATCTTATTTATCCTTAATGTCGTTGGTTTTATCGACCAAAGATACAACACGTAAATGAATAACATGAAAATGATAGGTAAAAAGGTAATTTAACGATGGTGGCTATTGATGACGTTGTGGGTGGTTGTTGTGATGGTGGTTGGCGATAACGATGTGGTAGTCCGTTTTGTCGATGTCAATCTAAATATCAATGACGAGGAGAAAGAGGAAGCATACTAGTGAGACACATAATATATGTTGATGTTGAAGGAGGAAAAGGAGGGAGGTGAGGCATCTGCGTCGACACCTCACCTCCCTCCTCTTCCTCCTTCAGCATTGGAGGAGGAAGAGGAGGCAAGTGAGATAGAGCAATGCAACATCGGAGGAGAAAGAGGAGATAGATGAGACATCTGCATTGTCACCGTATTATTTCGTCTCCTTTTCGTTTTCATCGACCTTCGCATCGTTCGATGCAACGTCGCACTGTCTCCTTTATGTTAGTGCTGCACCGCTCTATGTCCTCTTTGTTATCATCGACTATTGAATCGTTTGATATGGCACCATACTGCCTCATTTTCGATTTCGTTGACCACTGCATCGTTGGAAGAGAAAGAGGAGGAAGAGTGGTGTGGCGCCGATGCAGATGCCTCACCACCATCTTCTTTCTCTTCCTCCGACGACATAAATGTCTTACTATTTTGTCTCTTTTTCCTTGTCATTGATATTCATATTGACATCGACAAAGCCAATCACCACTACAATAGCCACCCATGATGTCACTATCCACTACTACTATTGAAATTATCTTTTTACCTATTATTTTCATATCATTCATGCATATGTTGTACGTATTGTATCTTCCGTCGATAAGATCGATGGTTTTAGGATATATAAAATTAAATATTTTATTTTCATAATTATAAAAATTTTAATAAATTTTTTAAGTTTACAAATCTAGATAGATCTAACTAGAAACTGCAACTTTGGGACCTAACTGGAAACTGCAACTTGTAATTTTAATAAATTACAAGATAATCTAGTATGTAATTAACTCATAAGATCAAGTTCATAACTTTGGAACACTGCAACTTTCTTTATGGTAGAGTCTGTCCTAGTATAAAAATGCCAACCTTGTACCTACCATCCCATCTACTACCCCTATGAAAGGACATTCTTCTAAAAAGATTGATCAAACTTAAACTATAATAGAGGTGTAAATTATACTGAAGTAGGTGAGACAGCTGGCAAAGCTGCAACATTATCTTCCAAATGAAGTGTCATTACATGATTTTTAAGTGAGATATATATATATATATATATATATGTATGTATATATTTATGTATGTATATATGTATATATGTATATATATATGTATATATATATACATATATATATACATATACATATATACATATACATATATATATACATATATATATATATATATATATATATAGCTCAATAAACAGTAATTGTTATTTGGAGCCTTGGACTTGTATATATCCAAGAAGAAAACTCTATCAGTAACCTCGTCAACTTTGAGAATTATTTCAAACAACATTTTCGCAAGTGAGATTTTATGGCTTTAATAAACTTCACTTACTCTTAACCCAATATCATAATCCATCCTCCATGGCATCCTTTTGAGCAAGCTTTGACATGGAAAACTGGTTTGTTTGTTTTTCTTGAGAATGGCATAGTTTATCAGAACAATGTGTTAATGTTAGGGGTCTTCAAATCAATTCAAAAACTAAAATCAAGTTTTTTGAGAATGGCATAGTAATGATTTGGTTTTCAAGATTCTAATTTGGAAGTACCCTTCTCTGATTCGATTAACCAATTTGAATCGAATCAAATCGATTTTAATTTAAAAGGTATCATTAAGTTCACTATCATAAGTCATTAATCAATTTAAATAGATTAATCAAATCGATCCAAATACCTAATTTTACAAATAATATGGGCTTAATTTTATAAATATTATTATGTCGTTCGATTGGATTAAGATTTTAATTCAATTAAAATCAGTTAATTTGATATTTTTATTTTTTATTTTTTTTTAAATTATTTTAAATTATAAATCAATTAGTCAATTAATCGAATCGAATTAATCGGCTTTGAATCTATTGGATTAAATAGATCTGAATTTTTTTTTTTGGTTTGGACTATCTTACTTTAATAAGATAAAAAAATGGGAATACAATATTAGTACTAACTTGTCTTTGTTTCGAGCAATTCTTTCTTAATAAAATTGCTATTATGATCTTTGAACTATCTTTATGGAACAAAAATAAAAGTCATTAATAAATCTGTACTCGAAACTTTTAGATTAAAGTGGTAATGTATCTCAGTGAATCAAAGACTTTGCCTCTTGTTTTTGTCACTTGTCAAAGATTTTATTGGCTTCCTTATTTACATATGTAGCAAATTAAGTCGCAAGCATGCAATGTATATGACAGCAAAGTTAAGTGCAGCCCAATCAATAAAACATGTACCACATACTGACATGCAAGCGTGAAAGAATGCAAGAGAAAGTGACAAAGCCTTTGGTGGGAGAATTCAGGAAGACAGATGTTTTTATCTTTTAAGGTTAATGCAAGATGATGACAAAAGAATCTAAGCTCTGAAATCAACTTGGATTTGAAAGCATATATCCTCTCCCTCTCCCTCTGCCGGCCAAGGAAGACTCTCTATCTTCACCTCCCATTCATCGATGCTGCGGTTGCGCTGGCCTTAAAGAACCAACACCCTTGTCCTGTCTCCCCTATTTTTCTTGGAACAGCCAAAGCTTACCGCCATGGATGAGCTCGCAAGAAGCTGAGAACACTGAAAAGCCCACGAAGCCGATCTCAGTTGGAGCTACGCTCCAAAGCGTCGCATTTATATATGAGGACGAGACACGCTTCTTCCGCTGGTACCGAGTTGTCCCCGGTTTCCATGTCCCATCTCCATGTGACCTCTGAAGGTCATTGATATGTGTTTGCACTGTTGGTGCTTCTTCGGGAATTGAGACTCGGATGGAGGAAGCCATTTACAGGTTAAAGAAGCTTTCTGTTTCTTCGAGTGAAGGTCTATGATGACTTGATAGATTTAGGGTTTCTGTTTCTTTATGATTCGTTGCGACTCTCGATGATGTTCTTGGGAGACTGCAACTCACCGAGCGCTGGAGGCAGGCACATTAGATTTAGCTCTGAATGATGAGGTCGGACCAGACACACACAGCAAACATCGTGTCAGAAGCAACCCCAAGAACAATATCCGACGCTGGTTGTGAAGAAGCCCATGCACCGTCAAAGTCACACAATCATATCCCTCCTCCCGAGGAGGAGGAGGAGGAGGAGGAGGAGGAGGAGGAGGAGGAGAAAATAAAGGAAAACAGATGCTTGTAATTATACAGTCAGCAGTGGTACATGGCGCTTGCTATGTTCCTGAAGCTCGTGTCCGTGGCTGCACCGCTTCTGCCATCCAGATAGAGGCCATGGCAGGCATCAGTTGGACAAGCGATGGTCGGCTTGACCTCACCAAAGCTGTATCCAATCGATGATGCTTCACATCCACCACCACCACCACCAACAAGCAGAAGCTTCTCGGTCTCCAACCCGCCATAGAGATGGCTCTCGAAGCCCATGTTCTCCCTTCCATTATATAACCCGTGGTTGAAGTCCCTCCCGTAGCCGATCTGTATGCTGCTGCCATCGGATGAACTGCAGCTGTGGTGATCACCTCCGAACACGATGAGATTGCCACTCTGATGCGTCGGGTGTGCCACCAGAGAATTCAGGAGATGAGAGATGGGGATGCCTTCCAGGTCAGGTGCTGACGATGAGAACGGAGCATTGGCCGCGAAGGACGACGGAAAGAACTGCTGTTGTTGCTGCTGCTGCTGCTCCTGGAGCTGATGCTTCTTCTGCTGCTGATGATGAGGCTTTCTGTGGGATGTCGGTAGGCCCATGAGCCTTTTCTTCAGCTTGGTGTTCCAGTAGTTCTTGATGTCGTTGTCAGTCCTCCCCGGAAGCTGGGCTGCTATGATGGACCATCTGCACTTGGGAATTTGGCACATCGGATGAGAGAAAGCATATAACTACGGACTCCATCGCATCGAATGCAGTGGCATCAAGAACACGATCAAATTCACCTGCTTCCGATGTTAGCAAACAGGCTGCAAATGATCCTATCTTCCTCATCGGAGAAATCCCCGTGCTTTATGTTAGGCCTCAAATAGTTGAGCCATCTCAGCCTGCAACTCTTCCCACACCTCCTCAGACCTGTTGGCAGTCCATTTCAATCCCCAGAATTCCTCAAACACTCGTGGAAGAGCGCATACAAATACAAAAAGGGAATTGAAACCACAAAACTCCTTTGGGTTACCAGCTTTCTGAGGGAGAGCGATCCAGTTTCCACCTGTTCCATGCTTCTCCATGTACTCCTTCAGCTGCTTGTCTTCCTCCGGAGACCAGGGGCCTTTCTTGACATTTGCCTTGTCGCAGCATGGAGCCCTCCCCATGGCGGCAGATGTTGCAGCTCGATCGCCTGTGGCTCCACCCCCACGTCTTCTTCCCACTGGATTCTTGAGGTCGATCGCCTGGCCTTGGAACACTGCCACAACACAGTATGAAGGAGACAGAGAAGGAGATGGACAACGCAGAGGTATATAGAGGTTGGAAATGCTAAACAAGTCAAAGGATAGGCTGTCAAGTTTCAATCGGCTTCTCCAGCCTCTCTTGGCTGCACGCATCTTGGTGTCAGAGATTTATAAGACTCACCATCACCACCTATAAAGAAAACCCAGTCCCTGTACTTTTGGAGACCCTACATCTGATGAAACCCTGCTCGTTTTGGCTTGCTCCTCTTCCCTCCATTCCTTCTACCGAGACCAATATATGCTGGTAGAAGCATTGAATTCTGTTGGATCAGTCTAGTCCAAGTGCATATGGTAGACAAAATTGTCACTGACTCCATGCCAGAGTTCAAGTCCGAGGGCTGTGTCAAGACTTGTCGCCATCCCTCCCTTTTAATTAACGTAACAAGCAATCGGAATGTAGCGATAATCTCTGCCCAAGTGATTAGTACATGTGATGCTACTACCAAACAGCACCTCTTTCCCCTTGCACTGCTGAGTTCATCCACATGTTAACCTTCTGCTTTAGCCATTGTTTTGCTCTCGCGACTCATAGATTGATACCTTAAGATGGTTGAGAATGGATGTCAACCCCTCATTTTCTGTGATGTAAAGGGACACTGTAGTCATCAGCAGTGAAATTGACCAGTGTCCCATGTTTTCAACTTCCAGCTAACTTTTGAATCTCTCATGTCATTATAAAAGGAAGACAAATTGTGATTAGACATGTAGCTGCAACTCTGACCCAATAATAATAACTTTGTTCCTTTGCCTCCTCGATCATAAATATTTTATGCACTTGATCATTCAAGAAGAAGGTCATCACCATGAACCTTGCTTCCAGTGGGCAATGCCCTGGTATTTGATTGCTGTCTTCTCTTCAAAGTGGTTGGTGATGACTGACGAAAGCAGAAACTAGTTTGTGTTCGATGTTCAACAGCACCGACTCGTGTAGTAGAATTTAGAGAGAGGGGACTTGACACTGCTGAATTCTAGAAAATGTTGATGCTCTTAGTCTAAACTTCGTACTCAAGAAAATCTACATCTTTCACATCATTAACAGTAACAGCAGCACCAGTCGCTATTGGAAAATGTTTTCAGGCACCAAACACATCATTTTGCAGCCCAAAGAAAAAAGATGACTTCTTCACATTGACAGATGGAGAAAGACATGAGATTGTCACGGAAGTGGTCGTGTCATGAACACAGTCACATAGTGGCTCTCGATCTTTAGCTCAACTAATCATGAAAAGGGAAAAGGTAGTCCGTTCATGGAAAGATCTTATTTTCTCATACATAAACCCTACTGTTTGCTTTCTTGCGGCATGTCATTTTGTACTGTAGTACCATGTGGTATTTAGGTTGATGTGGATCTAATGCGTCTTCACATTGTTTATGCGGTCCATTAGCTTCTCAACACGCTGTTCAACTTCAAATACTTTTGGATAATCTGTAGCTATGCATATTGTAAGCAAAGTATGGCAACCATGGGAATGCACAAAACAACAAATACGACAGAAGCACAACTGTATGGTCCGGTGGAAACTATTCACAGCTACCTATGAGGTGTTGTTCATGGTTAGAACCCAAGAAAACAAAGAAGACAGAGAAAGAAGAAACGTCTTGGAAAAGGAGAAGTCAAGAAACACTTCCAAACCATGTGTTTGTGTGAGTGGCTCATAGACAAATCTATCTTTTACCTTTCAGCACCTTTGTTTGGTATTAAAACTGACTTGACTCTTCTCAGTCCATCTCAATTATATGAATACTGATATCGACAGGACATTTGAGCAGCAACTTTCCAAGCTAAACTGATGATTGTCTTACCCTAATACCAACCTTATCTGCATATATAGAACATGTTTGACAATGTATATGACAGTAGGATTCAAGATAACCAGGCATCATCTTGATAGTTCTGGTCTTTTGCATTCAGATAAGAACACAATTTTCATAAGAATCCAACGTGAACCCACTGGATATATCTGCTGGCAAGAAACATCAGCCTTATTTGATGATAGATTCCTAACTAGACAAAGCATGAGTCAACTCTCATATTTTAAAGGAACACACCTTGGTTATACTCATATTCTAAGAGTATGAATAGTGAGACAGTGGATGCCTTAGTGCATGCACCTTGTGCATCCACCGAAGGATATTTAAAAGGAAAGATGTCAAAGAGATGAGAGTCTGCAATGTCAGGCTGTGAATATAGAAAGACCAAGGCCACCAACATCTCAACACACTGAGGTGGACTTGTATTTAGGGCAGGTTGGGGTTGATGGGATGGAGCCTCACAGTTGATAACTGAGATATCTGTCATGGAATCTTCAATCAAGCAAGATGACAACAGTCTGATAACTGTGCTGAAATCTTAGTGTCGTCACTTGCGATTAACTCTCAAAACAATGCCCATGGAGCACTTTCTTTTTCTTGTTTTGGTTCCCTTTGAGGTAGCACTTCTCCAGCCAAGCCAGCTCAGGGATGGTTCATAATGTGGTGGTAGCAGATGAGGACTCTCTTTTTATATTGAGATAAAAGAGTGATCATCTTCGGCTTGTGTACAGATTGGAGCATGTTGTTAGAAGTGCATCATTAATCAAGTATGATTGCAAGCCTTGCGAGGTTCTTGATGGCAGGTGTTTGTGAAGATTCAAAACCAGATGCATTAGTTGGTGGGAGGGCTGTGAAATCAAGGCAATGAAAGATTTGAAGCAGAGAGAGAGAGAGAGAGAGAGAGAGAGAGAGAGAGAGAGGTTGTGATCCTCCCTTCCCTAGAAAGATTGGACAAGACAAATGTCTTGTCCATCTCTGTGGCAAATTTGTCTGCCTCTCCGATCTGCAAAACCATATGCTGCAATGCCTGGGAGCAACTCCAACAGACGGAGAGGCTGGTGTTTTGTCCATTTCAAGCGCTATCCAATTTGGATGCAGACACAGCCACTGCCCCTTATGATGGTCTCAGTCCAACATTTTGGATCTGGAAACCATGCATCTCATCACCCACCCCACATCCAAATCTAACCTGTCCTCTTATTGGTGTTTGGGGAAAAATAATGACAAGTCTTTTAACTGTGGCCATGGGGTTTTCTGATTCTGCTGGAATGTAGTGTCCCAAGGATGAGAGAGAAAGAATAAAATAGAAAAATAAAAGGAATATAATAAAAAGAATAGGTGCCCATCATGGTTATAAAGATTGAATTGAATGAGTGAATCAATTTGTTGGACTGTACATGTCTAATAAATTTTATTAAAAATAAAATAAAAATTATATTATTAAAAAGATAAATTCTTGAAAAAATCTTGTAAGTTTAATTTTTTTTAGGACCGTGAAAAAAGATAAATTCATCCCAACTTTAAAAAAATTTTAAATAATATCCATGATCACATAAATGACTATTTTACCCGCATGTAGAGGTGTAGGAGGTCGGGGGTGGATTCAATGTGGTTAACTTACACATGTAGGTGTAAACGATTAAGAGAGGGAAGGGGGGCGACCAATAAGACATGTTTGTGCATGGAGGTGTAGGCATCCAATGGAGAGGAGGGGCAGTTGACGAGATTAACTCACATGTTGAGGCATAAGTAGTCATGGGAGGGGTCAACGGGGCTAGCCTACTGTGGAGGTGCAAGCAGCTATAAGAGGAGAGGAGACGAGCGGTCGACAAGTGGAGGACAATGGTCGACAAGGATAAGATGATGATCTTAAAAAAAATCGAATGCTATCTGAAAATTTTTTAAAATTAGGACGCTCTACAGGAAATTCCAAAATTTATGATTTTTTTTTTAAAATTAACATTATAAAAATATAAAATAAATAAAAAATTATTATAAATTTTATTTTTATAATATAACGAAAGAAGACTAATATGAATCGATAATATAAGAATTTTCATTTCTTCGATCCTTATAATAGAAAAGACTAGCATCTTTAGGAAAATTAAAATATCTTTAATAATAAACAAATAATTGAGAGAATTTCATTCTTTTAAGATTTAAAATATTTAATTAATAAACTGAACCAAACCTTTCGAAGTTGGGGCTCTTTTGACAACCCAAATGGTGCCATCTTATCACGCCCCTCACTTGGGTGATAAACAATTTAATTTCTCGATCATGCATATGTTTCTTATTCATGTTTAGTGGTCAGATTACACCACTATCCTTCCGCGAACCTGATTTAAAAGACACAAATCTTGATCTGTGTATGTCACAATTGCAAGTCTAATCGATCGTCAAAATAAACTCAATCTATATTGATAGATTCAATGCGTCTTGTATCTCAATTTGCAGTCTACAATAATCTCGAGGCAATGCCTCCTATGATAACATTGAAAGGTCGATTGGCGGCGAATCCAAGACTTGCACAGAAAATTCCACATTCCAAGTTGCATTTGGGGCTGCCAGCAAATAGAGACCCACCAAATATAAAGCCCAGCCCAGTAATCAGAACTCACGTGGATCTCAAAGCGCCGGAGGTCAGGTCAGATCTCAATGCTTTATGAATCGTGCAGTCACGGATCGCTGGCCCACTCGAACCGCCTCGGACCGGATCGATTCCCAACTCACGCGTGGACGGCAGATAAGATGTCCGCATACTAATTTAACGGTAGATGATGTAACCGCATATTAATGCTAGCCGTATCACGAAGAACAAAACAAGGTGATGGTTGGGTTCAGTAGTATAATAATAAAGAAGTAATTGAACTAATATTAGATCGGCATTAAGGGCAAACCCTCGCAAGAAAGTAGGAACCGTATCCTCCACGCCGCCCTCCGATTTCTCTCTCCCCTTCGAATTTAGCCTGGGTTTTGTCCGTCTACCGTCTGTTGAGACCGATCCGTTGATTTGGTTTGGGGATTTGAGCAGGGGATGGTGTCGGACGCGAGCAAGAAGAAGGCGGCGGCCAAGAGGGGAGGGAAATCATCGGCCACGTCGTCGAAGGCGGCCGCCGATGTGCCGAATGGGGCGGCGGTGGGGAAGGTGGCCGATGGAGTCGGATCGATGCGGATCTCGGATCGGACGTGCACGGGTGTCCTCGCCTCGCATCCGCTCTCCAGAGATATCCATGTACCTTCATTTTTCCCTCTCCACCTTTGGTTCGTAATGATACGTTTTTGTTCCGTGTTAA